ACAATAACATTAATACATTATGACTGCAACGAATACTTATTTCCTTTGCAAGATCACTGCTCGATACATCTCCTTCTGGGGTTTCTTACTTGTCATCCTAGTACTTAAGCAAAATACATGTTTCGCTACCATGATCCAACGAGAACACTACACTACAATCGACCAAAAATCGCTCATTTTTTAATGAAAAAAACTTTGCAAACTAACAAAAGAAACTGATTCAATGAATAAAGACAATGGTTTTAATGGAACGAAATAAAGGCGGAAGAATGAACCAAAAAAGAGAATTACAGAGTAAATACATTATAATGACTAAGAAAGTAAAAGTTCATATCGAATTCGATAAAGATCATTTAAACGAAAACCATACTGAAGGTATACCGCATCCGAATACGGAATTCACCAACAGAATTTTTGATGGAGCGAAAAAAGAAGGGTATTTTTTGTTACGCAACGGCTTTCAATGGTTAATTCGACGGAACGATTACGAAAAATTATTACTCGACACTGACAATATTATTGAAAAAATTTTTCAGCCTTCAAGAAACAATTTTAGTCCATTAATATGCGACTACGCAGAATAATCAATTGTTATTCGAACGGTTAAAATTCTGGCTAAATGAGCTTTACAGAAGTATCTGCATACACTATCATTCACACTGCACTAATATGGAATACTTAAAAATTCTTCAATAAAATGCTTAATAGACAACGTCTTCAAAAGAAAAATCCTATAACAAGCATCCAGAACAGAGGATTTCAACTTCACAGAACCGTTAGTACTTTCGAGGGTTCAAACAAACGAGAAATGGTACAGATTTTTTCGGATCAACACTAATGGTAACGTTTCTAAGTCTTAAGCCAACATAAAACATTTTCGGATGGAATTCCTTACGCAATATCGAAGAACTTACAGCACTTGCGACTAACTGTTTTAAGTTAGCAGTAATAATTTTTACTGCTAGCTTAAAACAGTTAGTTACTGCTATCTAAAATTGTTTCACTGCAGCCTTTACAATAACGAGTATGATCATCCAACCATAAAATACTAATGAAAATGAATCCAACTTTGAAACTGTCATCTTCTGAAAATATCATAAACGTAGCGTATGGAATGATGATATTACACCTCAAGCTAGCAACATTTCTTCTTCTCTTGACGCCTTGGACTACCTCCAAGTCTAACCCCTTTATCGTTTACATTTCGTTGGGGCGACCGTAATTTGGCATCCAAAACAAGACCTGTTATACAATTGAACATCTGAAATTCATTCCAATATATACTTTCCAAGAAAAAATATTCAATCAAAAACGTTGAAGAATCCATAAAGAGAAATTTATTCGAATGCCTGACTTCCTCTCAAACTGTGCCCTTCGATAGAAAGTGTTCAATGCTAACTTCAAACGTACTAGGGGAAATTCAACTGAACATGAACAGATGATGCGTGAAAAGAATGAGCAAATTTATTCAGTCAAATAGCTTGGATGAAACGATCGCGTTTCAACTGGACTGTTTGATAAAATGCATGCGAGAGCGGGTGGATTAATAGCATAAAAGCAACTGACCTCTTCAACATTGATATTTTCTTTGGCAGATGTTTCAAAGAAAGGTATGTGCATTGTATCTGCGAAACGACGTGCATCTGCTTCCAGAACCACTCGTCGTTCTGGATCGTCTGCTTTGTTACCAACTTAAATCAAACCTCAGTTTCCGTTGTAGCTATCATCTCTACATTTTCAATTTAACGATTCAATTCATCAAAAATACATGGACAGAAAATATACTAATCATACACGTTAAATTGCTTATATCTTGGTTACCTTACCAATCGCCGTCATTCATTCATCAATAAAAATCAATTTCCCACTGGCACAATGACTGAATCAATAATGAAACGTTCTGCCAGACTCTACTTCTCAATGCCTTCAAAGAACTGAATCCACTGATGAAGACCTTGATTATCCCTTAATAGAAATTTCCAACTCAAGCAAACGATGGCTAACCGAGAATTTTTTGAACGTTATCACAATTGGAATCAATTTCATGCAGCCATCGTTTGACATTGCTGAAAGAATCACCACTTGTCACTTCATACACAACAATAACACCGTGTGTTCCTCGATAATATCTGAAATCATTGATTTCTCTAATCTTTCAATTCAATCAATCAACAAATTGGAAACCTTAACCAATTCATTAAACGAATACATTAAAGTGACTAAGAATTGATATTTTGACAGATGTGTCACAAATTACTAAATGATAAAAACAGCAAAAAATCACTCACGTTGAAGTGATCGTGCGAAATCTTTCCTGACCGGCCGTATCCCAAATTTGAAGTTTAACACGTTGGCCGTTTATTGTGATTGTTCGAATTTTGAAGTCCACTCCTATTGTTGTTATATAATTGGCTGAAATAAAGCTAGCTGCCAATTAGAGTAGAAAGAATTTCATTACAATTTATAGACGAGATTTACAACTATTTAACACTTTAGTCTTTGCAAATAAACGAGAAAAAACTCCAAAAGCGACAACTTCAATTGCCATCATTGAAAATTACCTTGGAACACTCACAACCAGCTATAAAATAGTTAAAATTGCAGTTTTTAAAAACATTACTGATGTTACGGCACAGCACAAATTTTGAGTAACAGCTATAATTATTATAAAGATGTTCAACTTGAAAAAAAGAAGAACTGTTCAGCTCAAATGAATAAAATACGAACGTGAAAATGTGTTATCGGCAAATCGAAGAAGCAGACTGCTCTTGCCAACGCCTGAAATTAGTTCCAATTTGATCATAAATGAATTAATGAGGGCTCAATAACAAATGAAACGAACGACTAAACAAATTCCACAACTTTACAGCACCTCTCCCAAATAAAATTAGCCAAACATCGACAAACCTAGTTGAATGCTGGCCGAACTTGCTTATATAAACGTGAGTAGAAATCACGTATGGTCGTCAAAATCAATTATAATCAAAATATAAGTAAAATGAACAGTTTAAAATTGACAAGAGCATTTTGAATATTATAATGAAACATTGGAATAATCAGCGATCACTAACCACTATCTCCGATTATCAGTAATTTAAAAAGATGATCATAATCGCGCGGTCCATGTGCCGCACTCATCGTTCCTTAAAACACTACCAAATTATCACTCCTTAACAATTCATTTTCACATCATCCCGCGGTTCACATCATCTCCCATAATCATACTTCATCCATCGCGAGAAAATTAATTCTCGGAAACTCACAAACCATTTCGCGTTCCGCAATTGACAAAGATGATTGGATGCACTGGAGCCTCTGATACAGTTGTGCGTAGGAAAAGGATGATTGCACGGTAACGGAGAAATGTTGCTGAGTGAAATTTGCAAAGAACTGCATTCATGGGAAAAAGGTGAATATTCAAAACGGTAAGACTAGTTGCCTCATTCCATAAACATAAACACAAATTATTGCTTTGCTCATTGAAATAAATCGATGAAATAGCGGTGATGAGGATTTGTGCTGCAAATGGATAGCCAAAAAATATGAGTCATCGTTGCACCGCACAAAGAAACGAAATAAACAATCAATCTCGTACAAAAAAACTGAACGATACAAAATGTATGCAGTGATAAATTTACGTGTCTCTGATGCAAACAAATGGAAAGCAATCACAAGAAAGACTCATAATTTTGTTGGTTTTCCTTCCAAAATTTTGTTAGTGCTTACGCTTTGAAGACGCGCGAATAAAAATAAAAAAATTACTGCTTATTGCACTCTACATACCACCGTAAATAATTCCTTACAATTAGTCGAAATTAAAATACTTAAGAAAGTCTACTAACGACTAATTCATTTTTGAAATTTGTCACCACTGTCACCTATATTCACAAGATATTCAACCATGTCATTCGCTGATTCACAACACAATCGTTCGCTCTCATCGAACAGTGGCCGTATCAAAGGCACACAGATCTTTTCGTTCCGAATTCCATCTACATGAGGATGGAGAATTAGTTACCGTCTTCAGTTTTTCCTGATTTTAATTCTTCATCGCCCTATCTGTGCTTCATCTTTTCTATGCTCACATTCTTAAAGAAATCACTTGAAATGTTATTCGCATACCAAGGGAGTGAGATGAGGTGTTGTAGCATATGTCTGAACAGAAACATAAGTGCAACCCGAACAGCAAACCACCCTACTGAGATTTCATCACAAAAAATTTGGCGCACCTACAAACTTCAAGACTGCAGAAAATTTTGCACGATTTACATGAACAGAATTGTAGAACCAAATAATTCGGGCGCAACGACCGCAAACAAAATAACAGTGTCAAAAGCGAAACGAGAAAAAATGAAAACGTGAGAAACTGCATAAGAAAACGAAAACAACGGAGAAATGAAAGGAATGATAAAACTGAAGTGAAACAAGAAAAGCGATATGAACTGCGATAATTATTCAAATCAAACCAGCAACACACTGTACGTCACATATACAATGCAAACATACACAAATAAACAAATAAATGCATAAACATACACATCAATAAGTAACACATACGCAACGTCACCGAAGATTATCAGTGAGAAGAACTTTAAAAAAAAAGTTATTGGAGAAAAATAAAATTCTGCTGAAATGATCTGTATTATGCTAATATCCCTTCAACATTCTGCTCACAATCTGCTAACACTTGGAAACTTATCTTTTACAACTGAATCAATAAATAAAATATTGAGTCTAATCAATAAATTATGACTGTTATATATTAATATTTCCCGATCAAAACATTAAACAAAACAAAGCTAAAAGTGAACTTTCATTCAGTTGCTTCGCCGCATGACCAGCAAATAAAACAAACCTCCCTAGAATAATATCGCATGAAATCTACTCTAAGTTCCTCATAGCGCGTGATAATAAACTGGAGTCCGGAGTGTCAAATGATCAGATGCACCTAACAATCTATGCATACGCAACACACATTTCTACATTAATCCATGCATTAATAAAACTTTAGAAAACCACTATGAAAACATGTTTCACCGATTGCATCGAAACATGAAAATTNGGTGGAAACGAATCCTCCAGAAACCGTATCCTCACTGATTACATGAGACAGAAAAACATAACAATGCAGCGGAATCGGGAACATGTAGTGTAGAAGCTAACATGCTGTTTCGATAAAGGATGTTCTAGAGGCGCTAGGGCCTCTCTAAAATCGTTTAGTTGGCGCAATATTTTATCTGACGAATAAGTTTCGCATTCGCGCTTACGGCTTTTTTCATAAGCGGGACCGACAGCTATGGATCGATCAGCTAACGCCTATTAATGGTTTCAAACAAGAACGTTGAAACAAAAAGTGAAATTAGATAGCTGTTGAGCAATGATAACAATATGCACACTCCTCACAAAACATCATGTTCGTCATACAAGTGTACGAACAAATGCACCCACACGCACACACATCATCTAATGTGAGCGTTTTTACAAATATTCACTTTCGACGGTTTTTGAACGTTTCTTCACACGAAAACAACAAACGATTCACTACTACGAATTTTACTGCATCCTTTTTCAGCACACAGAGAGCATCGAATGCATTTCCTCATATAGTTTACATTCAGGTTTGGGCATGCTGAAAATTGGGCTTGCATTCAAGCTCCTGAAAGGTTGAAATCTATTGTGCTACACAACCCGTTATTTTCCACTGTTCGCTCTTTATCTGTTATAAATGATAACTGCGTTGAATCGCTCGTTAGTTGATAGTATGCAAGATTTGAACTTCAGTGCAAGTAAAGCTGTAATGCGTACCCAAGTTGAGCAAAACCAAAAAGGAACACTTGAATCACAGCCTGAATCACAGTCCCGTCGATTCGGTCGTTCGCGACTCCTTTCGTGCACGGAATGCTTGTATGCAAAAGAGCGATTTTACGCACAGTTGATGAGCAATGCCTTCTAACTTTTTCTAGCGAACACAAAAAAAGCAACTGGGTATGAAACAAATATCCTGATTGTAAGATATCTGNGCAAAATTCTAAAATTATTCTCGTCGTACTCATTCAAGTAACATTTTCGGTTGACTGTACGTTGCAGGAGATGCGACTTAGCTGTAGGATGTTGTTCACTCGCTATTAGAATTTGTCTAACCAAAGTCGCTTTATCATCAGTTTTTGTTTATTTTTTCTACTCGTTTTATTGCTCAATTTCAGTGCATTTGGCATTTTAGCTGTTTGGAAGTTAGTGGTGAACAGTGAGGATTAATCGAAGTGTTGATTTTATATGTATTTTTCCAAGCTTTGACAAAATTAACTGCGAAAAATTCTTTCCTTCGCAGATCTCTTTAATTTCTCCTGCTCATTCAATCCATGAGTTGTAACATATATTCTCAACAGTTTTACCATCTGTTTATTCGAGGTTATAACAACAATAATACAGTTTCCATCGTGCGTAAGCAGCAATGGATCTTTCCTTAGATTTTGTGTTAAAACAGTCTTTCATCGAAGCTGAAGTCTTTCTGGTCACTAATTTCTTCGAATAACTCAATGCAAATCCGTTTCAGAAACTCCTACGTTGAAAGCACCCATCGTCAGAGCTTTACGCCTCTGGAGACGTGCAAAAACTTTAGTTGTTGCAGTATAATCTGTTTTTCGGTTCTACAGTGCGCTATTTCATGAGCTCTAACAATCAAGCCGTTCACATTTTATCGCGGCGATTTGACTGAGGTTTTGTTATGTGCACTGAATATCTTGCGTTGAGTTTCAACACATTTTTTGCATTCGCCATCATATTTTCAGTTGGATTTAACGGCGAATACCTCAATGCAAATCCGTTTTGCTATAAGTCAGAACAACTGAGCAAGTATACATACACAGGAGTACACTATCATAACATATTCAGTGCTATGATTATTCATTACTTTCAAGACATAAGACATTGTTGCTTCATTCATCCGTTATTCAGTACTTCCTCATTCATCATGTGGTAATGTCCATCCATCGCTATCAAGATTATTTGATAGTGCGGTGATGAGAAAATGTAGAACAATAGTCAACGTTCCTGTTATGTATTAGTATTTCAAATGATTTTATTGAATGGTCATCTGATATTATGAGTTGATACTTTTTATTCCATTTATTTGAGAAAATTTTAATTTTTTGTGGAAATATTTTTCATATTGTTCATTTCGTATGTGATTTTACAAGCAGGGGTATAGCTAGGACTTTTCCACAAGGAGGAAGGGGGGCGCAAAAGGGTTAGGCATCAATATTGAGGTTGGTTTTCCAACATTTATTTTTCTTCCTTGTCCATTCTCTCTTATTTTCCTCCTTCCTTTCCTCTATGTTCTTATCTTAGTTTCTCGCCTCCTCCAGGACGGAAGGACGTGGTTAGCCTGCTCATTTCTTCCTTGACTACACCTCTGCTTACAGTGATATGGTATTGGTGCTTTCGAGATAAGAATCATGCCGATGTATGTCATAACAAATAATTTGACGCACAGGTATGAGTAAAGGCGGACGGAAGGTCCATTCTGCATCAAAGGAAACCACAAGAGGAACGGGAAAGGTGGTGCCATCGGCTTGCTCAACTACGCCGACGGTCAATCGAAAAGATGGCAGTGTTTCGAAGCTTTGGCTCGCTCTTGTCGTAATCATTGGTTAGTGCAGTAATGATTTGATGTAGAGATGAAATAACGAATTGTATAATAAATCTTTTTAAGCAGTAAAGAAATGGTGCAATTTGTTGCATGTAACGCAATATTAACAACATAAACATTCAAATATAATGTCAATCCTATACATATCAGCAATGAAACGTCACATTTCATCTTATTTTGTCTTCACATCTCTGCATTCAGGTTGAAGTAGTTGTTGTCGTAGATTCTGCTTTTGAATTTCTGTAAAGAAGCAAGCGGTTAAAATTCATACACAAATTGGAATATGTATAAGCGGAACTGAAGAATTTTGGCACATCCAAGTATGCTTTCTGGGAAACTTCGGAGCATCGACTACAATTCACTTTCTTAGCATTACGTTTCAGTTCGCGAGCGAACTTTTCGTTCCCATTTTGTTTACTTATGAATGTTACAAGTTGCAGTCTGCTACATAATTGTAAATGTTGCAAATTTGATTTACTGGACGAACCAACCTCTTTGAATTATTTTTCAGACGTCTGGGATTGTAACATCTCGCAAATGTTTTATTCATCCGCTGTACAAACTGCTCAATTTCCTTAAAATTGAATCAGTAAAGTTTGTGTAATAATTGAGTACAAAATGCTTGGCATGAAAGTGCTGAAAACAGCTGTGAAGATAATCTTTTATACATTGACTCGGATATCTTTGGAACGTTTTCATTCAGATTCGATGCGAATCAGTCAATAAATTCATTGAATTTGAGCACTTCCGCAACCTGTTGCTCTTTTGTGGTTCGTTGTTCAATTCGTCCTCTATAATAATCCTTCAGTGCGTTTGTCAATTCCAATTTTCGTAACTTGTCCATCGCTCTGAAATTGAACTTCAATTCCTCTGATTTATTTACACACTATATTCGCATTGTTAAGAGGCGTTGGGTACTGCTGATTTAAAAATTGCGAATAGTTTTTGGCTGTTCATTTGTTCTTCTATCAGTGGTATATTTTGTCGTGTAATGAACTGATAATGAGGAAAATTCCAGGACATTATCGCTCTTGTTGTATTCGAATGTCATTTAGGTGTTTGAACATGCTGTTCCATTCTCAAATAAGTAAAAATGAACAAAAGTATTTTTGCGTTCGAAGAAAAGTGTTCTCTAATGAAATAAAATTTCTAGAAATGATAAATTGAAGTGAACAAAATGTTGGAACCTTTGTTGTGCATAAGTCAGACTGAAAATGATATCTCTTAACGCTGATGGAACGTCATTATTTGCATTCCATGAATGGAATTCCTCATAAAGTGTAGGTGCTGTGCAGAGTTTGTTCTCGATAAATATGTTCACATCACTTAAATTCCCTTGATCAATCCATCTCTCCAATGCTTTTCGTTCATCCAAACGCAGTCCTTCAATTACGGTTCGAATACAACTCGGATCATTTGCATAGCAATGTTTTTGATCATCTTCATCATTCCTGGAATACCACATTGCAAAGCCTTTCGTTTATTGAACTTCAAATATGACTAAATCTGAACCAATTCCGATCACTGGGTCAGTTTGGTGAAACTAAGATGTGGGTACTCGTTTAAGAGAAAATATTCATCAGTCACTCTTTAGTAGTACGGTGATTAGATATAATTCCAAGAAATAGTTATTGAATTTTTAGTTTGAGGTGATCAGTGTTGATAGGCCACGAAAGCGAACAATCGGTAGTAATATTGCAAAACGTGGCCACTCGATATTCTGCAGTTCAATATTAGCAATTTGCTCGTCCATAAAACTCCAGCTTTATTCATTCATCCGTTTTTGAATGTGATCTATTCAGATATGGATATTAGGCCAATGGCTTATG